TTACCTGGGAAGCCAAACACCCGAAAATAAAACAGTCGTTCCCCGAAAACGGTCGTTTGGCCCAAAAATGAGCGTTTGCTGATAAGTCCTCTTTGCAACCACATTACCGACTTTGCAGACAATGTACCCTTGATCCTATCACGGCCTCTCTTGATAACCTCTATATGGGGTTCCACTTAGCATTATTTGGCAAAAGCAGAAGTAAGGGCCCCAGAAATGATAATACCAGGAAAGTATCAAAAGACTCATGGCGCCTGCCCTTTCCAGAGCAACCTGAACCAGACTGAAAACCAACAAACTTAAGCTTCACCAATCCCCATGCCTTCTCTGAACCCATCCCTTTTGCCGGCGGTGGCGACCGTTGGTTTTCGGCCTGGTGCCGAGGACCGAGCTACCTGGGGTTAAAGAGTTTGGTAAGGCATAAAAATACATTTTCAGCTGGTTGATTGGTTTCTCCAGGTCGTTGCTTTCAGAGGGAACAGTTTGGGCTTCTGAGTCCTGCTTAAGAGTTCTATAAGGGTCTAGCACTCTCTGGACAGTGACGCGTTTTACATCCAGTAACAGCAAAAGAAAAAATGAACTCGAGAGGCTTAGACGCATGACTTCATTCAGTCTCCGAAGTCCAGATTTGGGACCAGATCCTTGTCCAACGCAGTCTCCATCCAGCAAAGATATCTTTGGAGAGTCTTTTGGGCAATGGCCCGGGGATCCACACGTCTGGTGAGTCTAGCTGTCCGGCCAACGAAATCTTCAGACATGAAGGTGGCTTCAGCGCATGGGTTTACGGCTGTGCCAGCAAGAGTCCACTCATCTAGGACACGCAAGAAGATGTGGTTCAGGTAATGGATTTTTGGGCGGAGCTTAAATAAGCAAAGGCTCTGTTTGTAGCACATTGATACCAGCGAAGCATATCCCATCAGAAACAAGTGCCCCGCGTTGATGATGACTTGGCACTGCTCGTCCGAGAGAAAGTAGTCAGCCATGAAGCACGTTCGCAAGACACTGCCCATTTGGAGCGCAGATTCTAAGATCTTTTGCAAAATCCCATCACCTGCAACCTGATCTCTAAACTCATTTTTCTGAAGCAGGTGAACCACGAATTTCATGACAACGGCAGTGTCACTGCCCTTGTTCCACTTGCCTTCGGGATACTCACGGGAACCGTTGTAGCCAAGCAGGTCCTCGGTCAGAGAGCCACAATGCAACTTTGACTTTTGGGACCTCATCCAAAGTCGTAATTCTTCATTCAAAGCTGCTAAGTCTTTTGCCACACTGCCCAAGCCGTAGAGCTTCTTCATGGAATAAATCAATGCGCTGGCGGCGAAATCCTTGCCTACCCCTGCCCAATACACGTGGAAGAAGTCTGGGCGAAAGAAGGCTGCTGGCGTGTCAGCAGAATCCATCAACATGTAATGCAGCAAAGCGCCCCCCTCCCCTTCCCAAGGCAAAGGATTCTGCAGCTTTCGCGTCTGCAACCAAAGGGGGCTGCTGAAGCCCAAGTGCTCAAAGGGAATGTGCACATCCTCAAATTCGTAGCCAGCGTGACATAGCCAGCAACACCCTTTTTGCCGTCTTTTCGAGGAATGTGTTTTCCGTACATTGTTGAACGAACGACTGAAGTCGCCGATCTTTTTGGCATACGGCGAGTCACCTGTAAAGCCTAAAATCACAACATGCCAGCGCTTTCCGTGTGCCTGAAAACCGTCAGCAAGAAGGGCATGTAGTTCCTGACCCCATAATAACATGAGGTCATCAAACATACCCTTGTCTTTTTTCAAAACCAGGCTACTCAACACCGTGAAGAGAAAGCGCGTGGCACCACTGTTTCCGCGTAGGTTCATGCCATGCAACTCATCATCATTGGATTTTCTCTTGCGGCCTAGATCCACAGGACGCTTCTTGGAACCGGCCCCAAGAGCTGGCAACATTGATAAGATTTCAACAGACTCCTTCTTGTACCCTGTGCCACCATCTCCGTGGAGATAAAATGGCACCAGGGATTCTAGACTGAAGTACTGTTGGAAAACCTGATGTTGAGGATGTAGTCCACGAAACTTCTCCCAGAAGTTGACAAGAGAGTTTTCAGCTAAGTGAACAGGCACCCCAAGTACTTTGTGTAAGTAGTCCTCACCCACAACCTCCAGCAAATGGCTAGGTTTGATGTATGGGTAGCGCTCGGTTTTGCCCACCTTTGCGTAGCTGAAGTTGACAGGCAGTACGAGCCCATGTTCCCGAAAAACCTTGAAGAGCGGGATGTCAGCGCTTGATTTTTTTATCTGCGCAATGCGAGCCAGAATGGCGCAAGGATCTCGGCGAGCAGCGGCTTCGGCGTCGATCACGATGCTTTTCGCGGTGACCTCGGCCCAGCACACACTCAAAGCGTGCTGGTTTAAGCGCGCTGTAGGGGCTCATGCAATGAAACAATCTAAATTCAGGCATTGCGCGTTTGTCAAGCAGATGCAGGCAGTGGAGCTCAACCAGCGCTTCTGGTTTAATCTTTTCTTCAACCTGTATAAACATGAGTAGGATGGGTCGGCTGAGGCTATACAGAGACTTGAATTACAAGGTGACCAGGTGTGTATTCACACCCGGCAAAATAACAAGATGGCATCAACCAAGAACAGGCTCTTTCTGCGAAGCATTTGTTGCTGCGCAATACGCATAATAGGGAGGAGGAAATCGAGGCATGAAGTCATTCCGTCGCATGCTCTCACCTCCACCTTGCTTGTTTCGGCAGCAGCGGCCATTGTCATAGAACTCGGCGATAAGCGCTGCTTCTAACATCTCTACCATACCCAGAAGCTCTGGTCGGCACACCTTGTGCAAGATGACAAACTTCTTAAAGTTTTGGGCCATGTAGCTGTCTCGCCTTTGTATGGGGTTGGAAGTAAGCCCAATCTTGAAGATGCATAGGGATGCACCACCGTTTTCCTCGCGAATCGCATTCACAACCTTGATGCAATGCCACAGGATTTTGGAAGCAATGTGAGTTTCAGCAACGCTCCTGAAATCCAGGTGCTGGGCAACAGTTTCCGTCGCAAGCGATGGGCTGGGGAGCTCAGGGCCAGGGTTCATCGAGATGTCGCAGGATTTCCCGCCGGATTCATGAAATGTATCTTCCACATCAGAATCGCTCCATGGGAAAATGTCCAATTGCTTTGAACCCATTCTACATAAGCCTAGCTGGCTCTAAGACATATCTGGGCCATCACGTAAACTGCAGAATGCAGTGATTCGAGCTTTGCAACAACAGGTTCCTACACGGGCAGCGACCTAGCTGGGCTTGTGAATTCAATACTGAGGCCCCGGCCCCTTCACCATATTTCTTCTTCAGAAGATAAACTTGTTCACTGATGCTGTGTTCGGATTCGTGGGAGCCTGCCAGGACAAACATCAATGTAGAGGGGATTCATGGGAGCAGGTGTTGTCATCATCGGGTGTTGGACATAGTGTTGTAGGATTGGTTCAGGCTTGGGCTTCTTGCAAAATCAGGGAAATTGTGCTTCCTCTATGTGCGAATATACATAATAACACGACTGAATAAACAAGTTCGATATCAAAGACTATGGGCTTGAAAAGGTTCACTTCGAAGGGGCTTTGTGCGCTTTAGGGGTTCGGGGTTATTATACGGGTTATATATAGGCCGGGTTCTTATAGAGAGATGTCCTGAACTGTAATTTCCAGCTTTCCCAGGTTCCCATCTCGGATCCAGACAGGGAGGTTGAACGCTATAGACAAATAATGGGATTATAGAACCCTAAGTGCTCAACCCCCCCAGTCCCGTTCTGAAAATACAAATTCTTGAAATTGATTGGGGGGAAGGTTTCATCTTTGCAACAAGGCGTCCAGGGGCTACGCAATCACAGGCTGATCTTGTGGCCTCTATATGTATGGTTTGCGGGATCCCACTATGGATTTGCGAGTTTTCGGAATTGCGTGAGGTTCATATGGGCCATATAACGATAAGGAGAGGATTTGGAACAATCGTTGCGCTTTGCGCACGCTCAGTTCATACTTAGGCTGAGGTAGGGTTCGTACAGGCAAGTGTGGCTTGCGGGATTTCTATAGGGTTCCTGTAGGATGAGAAAAAATTTTTTAGGGTTGATATAAGGGCTGTATTAGGCTCAAGGTTTAGGGTTTTGGGTGTATGGGCCCTATATACAGATACTATAATATATAGACCAGCCCTATAAGCTCATAACCCCCATGTATACAGCGTATGAACTGTAAAAATGTGACTGAAACCCTGCAACAACATCACCTTGTCCGTGTCATGCCTGTTTCGCTTTTCTTGATAATGACTTGCATGTGCCTTCATTGAACATATTGCGTTTTCCTTTTGGGAGAAAACTAGAATCATCGGCTACATTTTCTAGGCCCAAGATCATGCGAGCAAATCTCATAAGTGCTTGCGCTTGTATGGGCAAGCGCTAGCGGATTTCAACTGCATGCTTGCATCCAGCAGAATTGCAGGAGCATATCAGTAGAATTACTTAGGGGTCTCTTATAGCAGTATTTATATAAACGGACAATTTAGGAGGTATAGAAAAAACCCACTTACACGATGCTACCCCGAAGCTGGCGCAAGCGAACCCAGCACAGCAGCTCTAAGAGCTGCAAAGCCGCGTGCGTGAAACAGGTCATCCACTTCAGGAGAAGATACTGCCGCATGACACCCTTTGGGGACTTCATACGGTATATATAGGCCCAATAGAAGAAAGTAACATCATAAAATAACATTTCTTCATGGAGAGAAGACCCCTTGGCCTCCCAAAATCTTTTAAGCCTCATGCAAACCCTAAAAGCCCTATAAAACCTACAAACCCTATAAACAACGAACCCTATAAACCCTGTATGTATAAACCTTATCTCTAGATCCTATATAAACCCTATAAGCCCTATATAAACCCTATATACAAGCCCTATAAACCCCGTAGACCGTATAAATCCTATAAGCATAAACCCTGTAAGTATATATATGGTACCCCCCCCTGTTATCTACCGCTTTGGGCCTGTTCCGTACACATTTACACACATTCCATTGCTTTTATGAGGGAGTAACAGTAATAGCAATACTGACAAGGACCATGACCGCTAAACCCTAAACCCTTTCTTGATATGTATACCCTAAACCTTAATGTCATTCGTGGTTTTATGGTCAA